ACATCCTGAAGGAAATTAAATCAAAACGACACGTTCCTCAGTCAGCCACAGGCACAGCAATATGTACACTATACCTTTTCATTTTCATCATCGATATGAGTCCATACAGCGCCGTGATTTCTGCACTGCTTCAGCTGCTGCGGGCAGTTAAAGGGACAGTTCACTCAAATGACAAGAAACACATTTGACCTAACTTTGGTCGCATGGAGCCATGCAGATAATTTGGTTAGTTTCTGCTGCCTTTCTATTTCACTGAAGGTGACGTTAACTCAGAGCATTCAAAGATTTGAAATATGATTATTGACCAATGAAGCTGCATTTACCTCCATCGCATTGGGATGGAGGCAGAAATTCCAGAGATGGATATCAGCCTATAAAACCAAATCCACACAGTATGGCCACTCTGTCTCTGGGAGTGTGTTTTATTGTTTGGGTTTCTTATTTCCAATGAAGAGAAATCTTAATTCAGCAGCTTACAATGATATTTTAAGAAAGTGGTTTCAAAGGCCTGATGCAAACCAGACACGCCTGGAGAAAGCCCTTTCTTTTTCTGAAATAAACAACACTAAGAAAAACTAAATAAAACTTTTTAAAAGTGTCCAATGGTCTTTCATACAGAGTGAGAAAGCTCCAGTTTAAGGGAAACAGATTTAAAGGTCAGTCTTCTTTAGTTTAAAGCATGTTGGGAGGAACAATCAACAAGGTCAGATCAGACGTGGTGGCAATAAGAGCTGCTTTAGATCTCAAATGTCTGTATGCAGACAGAGTTCAAAATCAGGAACCCCACCTGCAGTGGCCGGTAAAATCATCAGGCCATTTATTACTTTGGTGGACTGGAGAAAAAAAGCACAGTATAAGGACATGTTTAGTAAATTTAACGTATGATTGCATGGATCACGTCTTAAAGATGATCACAAGTGCCATAAAAGCAACACCAATGGCTGCAGAACCTTTTTCATTTTGACTGACTGTCAAGAGTTCATCGAATTGTAACCAAAAAACATCAATAAAGAGGTGCACACATACGTACACGGAGATACACAGATGGAGGCTGAGCCAAACACCTTTCATCTGCTCACACTGTTATGACACAGAGCTGGTTGAAAATCTAATTTTCCTTTTAATAACAGAAAGCTGCTTTGTCACTTTGTCACATTGCATGGACTGCTTTGGTTCGTTGCTGCCAGTGTCACCGCCATATTGCCACAGCCACAACTGTCGACACTGAGGACTGAGACAAACAGAGAAAGGGACTGAGCGCTGCGGCGTGTGTTTGAGAGAGAAAGGGGGAAGTAAAAGGCGAAAGTGAAGGTAAACTTTGCTGATTTTCAACCAGTTGTGTCTCGTTGCAATGTGGGCAGTACCTGCAGATTAACAACACTCAACTTCCTTCCGTGCTGCCAGCCAAGAGCTCCCCACACCGCCTACTGGCAGGGGCTTTGCATCATTCAGTGGACCTCAACTGGCAGATGATCGGGGCGCTGCAGCATGGATGGGAGTTGAGCCAAACACTGTTCAGCCACACACGCTGTGCTGACACAGGGCTGGTGGAAAATCGGCAAATTTTCCCTTTAATAACGTAATGCTGCTTTTTTGCAATGACTGCTTTGGTTCTTTGCTGCAAACATTGAACCAGGCAAGACTGTCCTTCAGGAGACACACTCACTGTGTTTTTCATGATTTTGAAAAATAATGTTTTATATACTTACTTATACTACTTTTTAAAAAATAATCCTAATTTTGCTGGTTGGCTAACATTTTTCAGTGGTACATATTTATTTTTGCTTTATGTTTGTTCTTTAACTGGTTACCACAAACTGTGGATGTCGAAGAATCTTTGTGTCTTTCTGATTGTTTGTCTGAATATTTGGACGAGTGTGGGTTGTTTTATGACACAGCAGAACCAAACCAACCATGAATTTGTGCACATCCCTAATTTGAATGTGACATTATAACAATGACGAGGGATTTTGGAAGCTGCTGTTGGTTTTAAAGTCAGTTTTGTAAAAAATCCTCAACAGCTAGACTGAATGAACCTCTGTGCTTTTCAACAGCGCTGTTGCTCCGCTTCTGTCTTTGTTCATCTTTTTGTGTCTCTTATTCTCCTTCAACGAACGTCTTCTCCGTTCTGTTTCTCCTTCACTTTGTTTCGTCGCCTCTTTGTCTCTCCGTCTCCTACGCGCTCCCTCTCTGTTTCTCCTCGCTGACTGAAACCTTTAAATTTTCCTCTGCTTCATCGTGTTTGTCTGCTTGTCACGTATTCGATGTCGTACTGTAAAAACAGGATCATCTCCTCTGCTGTTGTTGTTGCCCGAGGAGCTTTTGCAACACACACACACACACACACACACACAGCTCAGTGGTGTTGCAGCTGAAGCTGTTTTGACTTCTGTCACGTTCAGTCTGTTTACAACCGGATCATTTGCATCGTTAAAGGAAACGTCTGCTGTTTTTTGAACTCAACTCTTAATTCTATTTAAAGTCAAAGTAACGTGCAGCTGAATGTGAAGGTGATTTCACAGCAGCAGGTTCAGGTTCAGGCTCAGTGACAGCTGCGTGTTCTAGCGTCTGCCAGGTAACATACTATCAACAAATTTAGTCGCTGCAGCTGTATCATTTCCTCCAAAAGGAAACGTTATTTAAAGCTCTGTGCTGGTGTGTTCACATGCCTACACATGAGGGGGATGCAGTGTTCAAGGTCTGGGCACAGCGTTGCATTCAAGGGCTATCATGCTGTCGGGAAATGAAGAAAAAACTAGCAGAGAGCACTCAGAGAGGTAAACAAGTATTGTTGACTTCTGCCAACGCTGCAGAATCCCTTCAAGAAGTGATTCTAATAATAATGTTGGCGAGGTTTTAAAGTGCGTCCGATTAAAATACACACAGTCAGAGAATAGTGACGTTCAGGAGGAAACGTTCATAAATATCCCTTCTTGCAATGTAAAGACATCATTTTAACGAGGTCTTCACAGACACTGATCAGATTACTAAAAAAAAACCTGCTCATACATTTCTGAAATATCCCACCTCCACAGCAGAGGTAATACACTCACATGAATGTTCTGAAAAGGATCATTTCAATAAAACAGCTTCTTGAATGTTGGCAAGTGTTTTAGTGGGAAACATTTTCATATGCTCCAATAAACACCTGAGTCTGGAGACGTTCAGAGGAGCCGTTACGACACATTACAGCAGGGTTTCTAAAATATTATGTCGGCTTAAACTGACAGCTTCTGCAACACGTTAACAAAATGTACCAGGAGCAACATAAAGCACACAGACACAGAAACACATATTCCACATGACTCACTGAGGATGACTCCAAATGGGAAAGATTTCACACTGTCTTTGCCAACAATAAAAAAGCTGTTAAAAAATGAAATTAAAGTTTGCAGCAGCATCTTCAGCACCTGCTGCTGATTGATCATCAGCTGACAGAGATTATACGTCAAAACTCTTGTGGTGATCACATCTTCAACAAAGCTTTAAGTGAGATGAGATTTAATATTTTCAGTTCTAGTGCATGTGTCTGGAGTTTACAGAAGAGTACTGGGTCGAAGCGTGAGGAAGAACAATGAGAGGAGGAAGATTTTTTATTTTGCATTTTGAAATTAAAGTTGGAATGTTGAGAATAAAAAAGAAAGGTCCAAAATAAAGATGAAGTGTCAAGAATAAAGTCAAAATCTTGAGTATGAAGTTAAAAAGTTAAAAAACAAAAAAACATCAAAATGTCAAGAGTAAAAACAAAATGCAGAAAAAAGGACAAAAATTGGAGGATAAAAATAAAATGTCAAAAATACAGTCCAAAAAATGAAAAAATGAAAAAAAAAAACGCCTTTACTCTAGACATTTAACCTTTATTCTAAAAATTTTGATTTTATTCTTAAAATTTAGATTTTTATTCTTAAAATTTTGACTTTATTCTTACAATTTTGATTTTCTTCTTAAAATTTTGACTTTATTTTAAAAATTTCGACTTTATTCTAAAAATTTTGATTTTATTCTTAAAATTTAGATTTTTATTCTTAAAATTTTGACTTTATTCTTAAAATTTTGATTTTCTTCTTAAAATTTTGACTTTATTTTAAAAATTTCGACTTTATTCTTAAAATTTTGATTTTATTCTTAAAATTTTGACTTTATTTTAAAAATTTCGACTTTTTCTTGATATTTGAATTTATTCTCAACACTTCGAATTTATTCTTGTCATTTCAACTTTATCCTTGGAACTTTGACTTTATTCTCAAATTTTTGACTTTATTTTTGACGATTGAACTTTGTCCTTAAAATGCAAAAAACAAAACCCTTTCTTCTAAAATATTGTAAGTAATACTGAAAGTATTTTCTTGACATTTCAACTGTCACTTTCTCTTAATTCTTAAAATGCAGATAAATAAATCTTTTTCTGATTTATTTTTTCTTACGCTTGTCACTTATATAAAGTTTGACTTCAGTCTCAACTTTTTGACTTTGTTGTCGACATATGGACTAAATTGGTTTTGAAATACAAAATAAAAAATATCCATGTCTCATTTTCTACCCTGATTCTCTTTGTTAGAGTGAACCACTTCACGTTTCCATTGAATGCATGTACAGAGTTTTGCTGCTTAAATTTGGCCATCACTGGCGGTGCAAAGTACTTTTGTTGTGTCAGTCGGCTCGTCCAAGACTTTAGTCCAGTGAACTGTAGATAGCCGTGGTTCCCAGAGGATGACTGCTTAGTGACTTCACAAACTGCTGACCTTTTGTCTAGCACCACCATCAGGATGAAATGTCAGCTTTTGTTTCTGCCCACATGATCATGTCATCAAATAAAACAAAACAACACGTTCCTCAGTTTGTGCACCAACATTTACCATAGTTGATATATTTGCTGTTCTTGGAAGATGTTTGGATCTAAGCTGCCATTAAAACCAAACATTTAAAGTAGGTGGACCTCTCCGAGGTTTGTAATAAACAACAAAAATCAACAGCAGGTAAACTGTATTAAATGTCTCTACCTGGTGGCAGATTTCGTGGACGACCACCATGGTCAGCTCCATCTGATAGGACGAGGACGACACCTCAGCGTCCAGTAGGATCTTCTGCTCCACAAAGACGCTCAGCCCCCAGTTCTCCATGGCAGCGTAGGGATGTTTGGGCACCGCCAGCAAGTCTGAAAAACACACCAAACAAAGCATGATGGGCTTCTGAACACATGCCGAATGTGTTCCTCCATTAATAAACTCCACCGTCGGCGTCAGCCAACCAGAGTCCTGCATTTAAATAAAAAGCTGACAGAATGACTGCTGGCATCAGACCACATCCCATTTTGGGTTAAAATTAAACTCATGAGTCATTTTAACAACCTGCCAGAGAATCCTTTTATGCCCACAACATGGATATATGGAGTCTTCAGATATAACTCTACATCTATCTGTGCGAGGGAGAGAAGCAGAGAGGAGGAGAGAGGAGGACATGGAGGGAGAGCGGGGAGATGAAAAGGAGGAGAAAGAGAAGGACTCCCTTTAAGCAAAAAATGAGAGAGAAGGAGGAGGGAGCGGCTGAAAGAGGAGTTTACCTTCAGTAAAGAAGATTTATTAGAGCCGCGAGGAAGTAATTAATGTCAAACTCCAGTTAAAGTGAAGTAACCTCGCTGGGCAAACGGGGAGGTAAAACTGAAGTAAAAGTCATCCACTCAAAGTTTCAGTAAAAGTCGTAAAGCACTGAGAGCACTCGAGTACTGAGAGGCACGTTGTTCTGAAGATAAAGAACACACAAAGAAGTGATACGACTTTTGTTCAGAGGTGTCATTTATTTGTCCTCAGTAAAAAATCTCATGACTGCACAGCTGCAGCTCAAAAGCAGATTTCAGGGATTGATTCTGACTAAAATATCTCAGACTATTTAATGGATCGACATGAAATTTGTTCTCCCCACAGCGTGAATCCTGCCGACCTCAGTGACCCTCTGACCTTTCCTCTAGCGCCATCTGCAGGTTGAGATAAGTGCTTCTCTCACACCGAGTTAAAAGCCAAGGAATAAAAATGTGTTTTAAGTCGTGATTTAAAAACAGGTAAGGAGGGGGCCGGCCTAATATGCAGCTAGTTTAGGGGCTGCTACTGCAAAAGCATGGTGTCCCCTGTGCTTCAGCCTCGATCGTGGGACCTCCAGAAGCAACTGGTCAGCAGACCTGAGTGACCTTGAGGGGACATGTTGCTGTAAGAGGTCAGAGAGACAGGGTGGAGCTAGCCCGTTTAGAGATTTGTAGGTAAATAATAACATTTCAAAATCAATTCTAAAACGAATAGGAAGCCAGTGGAGTGAGGCCAATATGGGGGTGATATGCTCACGCTTGTGTGCTCCTGTTAACAGACGAGCTGCAGCATTCTGGACGAGCAGCAGGCGTGAGAGGGAGGCCTGGCTAATACCAACATGAAGGCCATTACAATAGTCAAGCTGACATGAAATAAAAGCATGTTTGACCTTTTCCAAATCTCTAAAAGGTAAGAAGGACTTGATTTTAGATAAAAGCCTCAGCTGGAAGAAGCTGGATTTGACAACCTGAAGTTACCCAATTTTTTTGCAGTAGGTTTTATGTATGGTTCCAGGTAGCCCAAGTCGATATGTGATACATCACAGGCGCCACTGGGTCCAGATAACAAAAGTTCAGTTTTGGCTTCATTGAAGCTTAAAAAATTCAGGGCCATCCAGGATTTAACATCCTGCAGGCAGTTCAATAGTGGTTTTAGAGAATTAGAATTTTTCTGGTTCAAGGGCAGGTAAATGTCAGTGTCATCTGCATAACAATGGAATGACATGCCATACTTCCTAAAAATAGTTCCTAAGGGAAGCAGGTAGAGGCAGAATAGAGGTGGCCCGAGAACAGAACCCTGAGGGACTCCACATGGGAGAGGCGCTGGAGAGGATACAGCGTCACCAAGACAAACAGAAAAAAAAAAAGTGAAAAAACTTGAATCACTCCTAGTCTGGCCCCTCCCCAGGACCACTTGGGACTTGGGGCCCTTGGGAGACAGGGGCTGTTAGCCCTGGACAACACAGATCCCAGGATCATGGGGACATACAAACCCCCCAAATAGGTGCAGCACGGTTCGACTCGGCGCGGCCAAAAGTAACAGCGGGAAAGGCCAATAGTGGCCTCAGTGTGTTTCACCTTTTCACCTCCCTGCCTGGTACTTAACTGTACATCCAAGAATAAACTCTGTTGGACTGATGATGGAAAGTAAAATAGTTGGCGAGCCCTCGACCCAACTCTTTACAGATAGAACGAGGAAGAAAGTGAAGAGTGTCTTAGCGGATAGCTCCCATCCTCTCTTTAGCCAGTCTGAGCTCTTGAGCTGTGGGAGGCGCTACAGAGTCCCTCTGACAACTGAAAATGTATTTAAGACGTCTTTCATCCCAATCGTTCCATCAGTTCCCTGAACTCAACAAAGTGACTGATGAGGTTTGAACCACAGACGGACAATACGCTGATTTAGCGGCTAAACACACATTGTTTTCAATGTCAAGGCGCCAAACAGGAAGTAGATCAGCTCTGACCTCAGATTTCAGATAAATAGACTGTGATACGGTGCTGGTTATGGTTGCTTAGCAACCTCAGACACAACCTGCCTTTGTGCTCTGAAAAATAGGCACGAGAGTAGCGTCCAGCGCCCGACCTCACGTTTACCAGGTGGTTAAAGACACGGCATGTGTACGGCATCTTAACGTGTTAAATGTTTGTAATGACCTTGTGTGTTTATTTGTTTGACTGTTTGTCTGCTTTTTATGATGTCGTCTCTTGTGTCTGGTGAGCCGAGGACAACTCTCTGTCCCTGGTGGACAATAAAGATCTGTTCTGTTGGAAAATGGATGACGGAGCTGCAAGCGTGCCTGCAGACTCGTTAGTAGAAGCTAGTGATGTATCAGCTGAGTTTGATGAGTTTCACTCTGCAGGATTTCAATAAAACAAAGTGATGTAATAACCACGTTGATGGTCCTGTGCTGAGCCTTTGTAATGTCCAGAAATGTGCTGAGAGTGTACAACCATGTTCCCATGATGCTCTGGGTGATGCAGTAATAAGGTGTAATGTTGCCTGCAGTGAGCGAGTCAGCTGTGAGCTGAGCACCTGAGCCCCATTTTTGTTTTTAGCCTCAAGTTGTTCCTTTTTTTTTTGCACAGCAAGAGAAATCGTGCTGCGTCGCCTGCCAGCAGTTCATGTTTCAAGCCTCTCTCCTCTGAAATGTATTCATGTGATACTGATCCACAACAACAAACACAGGATGTGATATTATGTTTTTCTGTCTTTATGAAGAGGAAACATTTCTGAAAGTTACAAAACGTTCACACATATCTGGAAAATTTGTGTTCAGCACCAACCACAGCAAAAAAATGGAAATTATAGCTGCTAGAGATCCAGATACTTTCCTCAAGGGTCAGTGGAGACCAAAACCAGAGCTAAAACCTGAACCTGACAAAGAGTTAAGGCCCTGACACACCAAGCCGACGGTCGGCCGTCGACCAAAGTCGGGCCGTCAGTGAGCGTCTGTCGGCCTGGTTTTTGTGGTGTGTCCCGCACCGTCGGCACTTCGGCAGCGGCGGCTTTTCAGCCGATTGAGCATGTTGAATCAGTGGCGGAGCTTGTTGGTGAGAGAGATCACTCTGATTGGCTGTTCAGGTTTTATTTCCTCGCCCCTGTAGCGAGTGAATCTGCCTGTAGTGAAACCGGGGCTAACCGGTGCTTCCTCCTCAGGCTCCACTTCACTCAGCTGCCCCACAGACCCGCTGCTTCTTCACACTTTAACCTGAATAACAAACCGGAGCTAGCTGGGAGCAGCTAGCGGAGCGTTAGCCGCAGCATGACCGGAGGGAAGCACAGCCAGTTAGCCTCCGCTAGTCTCTGAGCTAGCCCCGGCTCTCCGTTTGGATCCAACCGGAGCACCGAGCCCTGGTTTGTTATTCAGGTTAAAGTGGGAAGAAGCAGCGGGTTTATCGGGCAGCTGAGTGAAGTGGAGCCTGTGGAGGAAACACCGGGACCGTCTGGATGTAATAGTCCGTGGAGGTGCTGCGGTGCTCGGCTGCACAGATAGGAAACCCCTCGGCTGACAGGATGTACCACTCTCTCACTCCGCTCTCTCTCACGCAGGCGCAGAACGTACGTGCTACTTGGCTGTCGGATGTAGTCCGTGTAGTGTGTTCAAATGCAACTGACACAGGGCGACGTGAGGCGACTTAGACGACGCAACAGTTGGCTTTCGTTGCCGCTAGTTCTTTGATGTCGGTTTGGTGTGTCCGCACCTTTAATGTAGAGATTGGTCTGTATTCAGTCCGAGAGTCGAGTTGTTTAAAGTGAACCCAAAAATAGGAGGAGCAGGAAATTGGTTTCTTTTCAGAGGAGAAGAACCTGATTAAAACAGAGGAGGAGAAGAAAAGGAGGAGGTGAGAAGGTGAAAATGAGCTCTCTCACTCTCTAACAGAAAGCTGATTGTTTTTCAGGAGGAAGAAGAAGAAGAAGAGTTTCTCTCTGGTAAATGAGTGAAAAGAGTTCAGGTGCTCATTTGAATTTTAAATCAGAATCTTTGGCATTTCAGCCGCAGCGACCTTCGTCAGTGTTGCACCATCACACACAACAGTATTTTCACTCGCCTCCGAAACTGAACAAACCAGACAGACTCTGCTGCTGCGAGCTTTCTCTCTTCTGCCTCGGTTTGATTCAAGTTTTCACTCTTGCAGTTCTTTTTTTTTTAGGAGGTGGAGAGCAGAGAATAGAGGAGGAGAGGAGAGGTGGAGGGAGAGAAAGAAAATGTGAAGGTGAGAAATAGATTTTCCTGCAATTTTTAGTTGACAGAAGTAAGAAATCAACAATAATTGGAGCATTTATGATACTTTGATGTTTCGTATCTCAACAACTACTGGACAGGCTTTTATCAAATCAATTGAACACATTAATTCTCACCAGACGATGAACTCTGTGATTTTAATGACCACATGAACTCTCCTCCTTCTGCCACAAACTTTACACTTTCAGCCCTGCTGCTGATAAATTATTAATCTTATTTTGTCCTGTGGAAAATATACCGTAACATAAATAGGGAAAATATATTATATTATTATTTATTTTTCTGCGATTGAAGCTAAGAACATTTGATTTTCTCATTAATGTGTTGTTAATGAAA